TGGTTCACTCAATTGGGCTATGTCCACAGACAAGTATAGAAGGATTTTACTAAGTAATATGGGAATTACAATCTCTCTCGAATAATAGGAGAACAACTAAGAATCTCTATATTATTAGGAGAAAACACTTCACTTACTCTATCACAAATACCTCACAATTTTATGGGATTACTCTCTCTTCACTCTCTTCTTCTTCTCTCTATTTTGGTGTGCATATAGGCTTGAATGCATTGCCTATTTATAGGCAAGAGTGAGGGTATAATGGTCATAAATTTAGGAGGAATATATGCCTAACAACTCATCCTCCACTCATACTCCACCAATTACAACTCATCTTCCACTCAAATCCCATCAATTATGCCACCTAATTAAATGGCTTTACATTCTCCCACTTGAAGACTTTGATGAGTTAATTAAGTCTTCACACTTGATCTTTTGTGATTCTTCTATCATTTCTATACTTGTCATCTTCATGCTGCTTACGTTTCTGCTAGGCCGTAAGAGGATCTGCACCATATATACTTATCAGTGTTGACCAGTTTCGTCAAAGCATCTGCTGGGTTTTTCTTTGTGTGAATCTTCTGAAAATCCACACTTCCATCTTCCACCACTTCACGAACAAAGTGATACTGAACATCGATGTGTTTTGTTCTTGAATGAAACGCTGGATTCCTTGCAATATGCAAGGCACTTTGACTATCACAATACAAAACAATATTTTCTTGTTTGTGCCCGAGCTCCTTCATAAGTTTCTTCATCCATATTGCTTCTTTACAAGCTTGTGTAGCTGCCATGTACTCAGCTTCTGTTGTGGATGTTATCCACAACAGTCTGTAGTTTAGAGACCCAGCTCACAGCTCCTCCTGCAATTATGAACACATAACCTGTAGTGGACTTTCTTTTCTCAAGGTCACCAGCAAAATCTGAATCAACATAACCTCTGATAGTAAATTCTAATCCTCCATAACATAATGCAGCATTTGAGGTACCCTTGATATATCTCAAGATCCTCTTAATAGTATTCCAATGCTCTCTACCAGGATTTGCCATGTATCGACTAACTGCTCTCACTGCTTGTGCAATGTCTGGTCTTGTACATATCATGGCAAACATTAAACTTCCCACTGCTGATGCATACGGTACTCGAGACATCTCCATCCTCTCTGCTTCATTGCTAGGAGACATACTTGAGGATAATTTGAAGTTAATAGGAAGTGGGGTGGAAATTGGCTTACAATCTTGCATGTTGAAGCGTTGCAAGATCTTCTTTAAATAATTCTTTTGAGAAAGCCAAATCTTCCTCTTACTTCTGTCTCGGTAAATTTGCATCCCTAGAATCTTGTTTGCTGGTCCCAGGTCCTTCATATCAAACTCCCTAGCCAACTGTGCCTTCAATTCTTGGACTCGATCTTTGTTGGGGCCTATCACCAACATGTCATCCACGTACAACAACAAAATGATGAAATCTTCTTCAAACCTCTTGTAATATGTACAATGGTCTGAACTGAGTCTGTTATACCCAAGGCTAATTATGAAGGAATCAAATCTCTTATACCAACACCTCGGTGCCTGTTTGAGACCGTATAGAGATTTGTTCAACCTGCAAACCAAGTTCTCCTTGCCTGTTTCAACAAAACCCTCTGGTTGGAGCATATAAATTTCTTCTTCAAGTTCTCCATGAAGAAATGCAGTTTTCACGTCTAACTGCTCCAAGTGAAGATCAAATATAGCACACATTGCCAAGACTACTCTGATTGTCGTAAGTCGTACCACTGGAGAAAATATCTCATTGAAGTCTATTCCTTCTTTCTGAGCATATCCTTTCACCACCAATCTCGCACGATACCGCTCCACTTGATCATTGCCATCACGTTTTATCTTGTAAATCCATTTGTTGCCAATGGCCTTTCTTCCTTGTGGTAGTAGAACAAGATTCCAAGTATTATTCTTGTGCAGAGCTTCAATCTCCTCTTGCATTGCTGTCATCCACATAGATACATCTGTGCTTTTGATAGCCTCATGGAAAGTTGATGACTCTCCATCCTCTGTTAGAAGACAGTATGCAATGTTACTTTCAGTAACATATTCTGAGTGCCAAGCCGGTGGTCTTCTTTCACGAGTTGACCGCCGAACTTCAGGAGTTTCAGATTCTATTTGTTCTTGCTCTTCATGCTCTGGTACAGCTTCAGAAGAAGCATGATTCTGAGTATTTTCTACATGGACTGCTGTAGTCTCCTTTAGAATGCTATTATGTTCTTCCATTTGCATTTTACCTTCTGCAAATATGACATCTCTGCTAATCACTACCTTGTGGGCAGTGGGATCCCACAAGCGATACCCCTTCACTCCATCAGCATATCCCAAAAATACACATTTTCTGGATTTTGAATCCAGCTTGCTAACTTCTTGTGTATTGTACATCACGTACACAGGACTTCCAAATATATGCAATCGAGAATAATCAACTGGTTTTCCAGTCCACATCTCCATCGGTGTCTTCAGCTCAATTGAGGTTGATGGAGATCGATTTATCACATAACAAGCGGTATTGACTGCTTCTGCCCAGAATGACTTTCCTAGACCTGCAGCCTTCAACATTGCTCTTGTTCTTTCTAATAGAGTTCTGTTCATCCGCTCTGCCACTCCATTTTGTTGTGGAGTGTATGCCGTTGTGAACTGCCTTTTGATACCTTCATGTTGACAAAAGTTATCAAATTCATCACTGGTATATTCTCCTCCATTGTCAGTCCTCAAACACTTGATCTTCTTTTCAGATTCAAGTTCCACCCGCGCTTTGAAAGTTTTAAAGACTATAAGCACATCTGCCTTCCTTCTAATTGGATACACCCAACATCTCCTAGAGAAGTCATCTATGAATGATACAAAGTATCTTGCTCCTCCCAAGGATACAACCGGTGCTTGCCAAACATCAGAGTGAATCAGGTCTAAGATGCATTTGCTCTTAGTTGTAGATGTGCCAAACTTCAACCTGTGTTGTTTACTTGTAACACAGTGCTCACAAAAAGGTAAAGTAACCTTTGTAAGCCCAGGGAGTAACTTCTGATCAGAGAGAACCTTTAAACCTTTTTCTGACATGTGACCTAGTTTTTGATGCCACATCATCGTCTTCTCTTCTGTAGGACTGGCTGATGTGATTGACGCTTCTGCCTCATGATGTGTTTCTCCCATTAATGCAAATACATTTGCAACTGTCTTTCTTGCCTTTAAAACCACCAGCGCTCCTTTGATGATTTTCATGATTCCATTTTCTGTTCGGATCTTACAGCCAAGACTATCAAATTATCCTATGGACAAAAGATTCTTCTTTAAGTCTTTCACATGTCGCACTTCTGAAATAGTACGAATTAAGCCATCATACATCTTCAATTTGATGGTGCCAATGCCAACAATCTCTAAAGCATGATTATCACCCATGAACACTTTGCCTCCAGAGATAGGTTTATATGTATGGAACCAATCTCGATTAGGAGTCATATGCCATGTTGCTCCTGAATCCATTAGCCAGACCTCAGTGAGCTCTTCTGTATCTGTAGAGATTGTCGTTGCTTCACTATATAAAACATCTCCATCTTCTGAGGTGCTCGCAACACACCCTTGAGATTTTGATGACTCTGCAGAATTCTCTATACCCTTTTTAAACCAACAATCCTTTTTGAAGTGCCCCTTTTTGCCACAGTTATAGCATTTCACAGCCTTCTTACTTCTTGATTTGGACCTCCCCTGCCTTTGACTCCCACTAGAGCCACGCTCCGTTGATCTTCCTCTTGACACCAACAATGCCTCTGCTTGGTTTGAACTGTTTCTGTCTCCTTTGTTTTTGCGCCTATTTTCTTCTTCCAAGATAGCGGTTGCAACATCATCGAAGACTAGATAATCTGAGAGGATATTATTTGTCAAGTTGATAATGAGCTGATCATACAAATCAGGAAGACTTTGAAGTAGAAGCTCTGCACGTTCATTTTCCTCTATTTGCTGACCCAATGTAGTGAGTTGTGAAAATAGAGTTCTTATTATGTTGATATAGTCAGTCACCGATGTGGTTTCTGCTATTCGAAGGGTATAAAGTCTCCGCTTTAAGAAAATCTTATTGTGTAAAGACTTGGACTCGTATAGCTTTGTTAGAGTCTCCTATATCTCCTTAGCTGTTTTCTTCTTCGCCACACTTGATAATACTTCATCGGCTAATGCTAAATGTATGTTAGCAATAGCATTGCCATCCATCTCATTCCATTTTGCATCATCAGTGATCTCCGCGGGCCGATCCCCAATTGCTGCCAAGCAATTGTCTTTCCTTAAAATTGCCTTGATTCTCATTTTCCACAATGAGAAATTGCTCCCATTAAACCTCTCAATCTCGTACTTTGCTGCCATTGTATTCACCAAGATCTATTCAGCTATCACCGTTTCACAGATCTGTAACGTATATAGAAATAGTATCGTGTGAATAATACTTCACTAAGTAAGTTTCCAGGAAAGATTGGAGGGGTCACAAACGGTCCCGCTTAAAACCTAATCTCCTTAGACAGAACTTCCTAGACTGTATTTAATCACCATACTGACTTTCTATATACGCCAACAGCAACGTATGTGAACAGTACCGTATGGATGAATAGTGTCGTATACGTGAATAGTGTCGTATACGTGAATAGTGCCCGTATACACGAATAACTTTTGTGTATTAGCAACATCAACCAGGAGGCTCTGATACCACTTGTAAGGATTACGAACACCACCTATCTCCACATTGGTATAATTGTTGGGTATGCGACCAAAGTCCCACATTGGTTAGAAATGGGGAGGATCAAGGGTATATAAGGATGGACAAATATCTTCATTGGTATGAGGCCTTTTGGGTATAACCCAAAAGCAAATCTATGAGGGCTTAGGCCCAAAGTGGACAATATCATACCAATGTGGAGATAAATGATGTCCGTAGTCCTTATATGTATTACAGTATATTTTGTTAGGAGATGCCTTCCCTTTTTCGCATTACAATTGTCGTGTGTTTTTTTTTTTTTTTTCATGGCAATACTCTTTAGCGCATTGCATTGAGATTAACATCATGTTTTTTTACACGGAATTCACTTATAAATTTTCCAATGAACACGTTGAATTCTCCAAAAAGGCAATGCCCTTTTCTACTCAAGGGGAGGCATTGTACAAGCAGTTCTTGCCTACAACCCTTTCTTTTTGGTTAAGCCAAAGAATTTATTCATCAAAAATGAAATTATAAAATTGTCCATAAAATAGTGAGAACCAATCAAGTCATCCTAACAAATGACTAGGCAGCATGCATATTTTTTTTCCAAGCATGATTAGGAGAAGTATCCTAAAGATTCGTGGAAAAATTACCTCCGAGGTGCTTATCCGAAAACACACAATTATCTAGCTCTTGCGTATCTGCCCTCTAAACTCCGAGGATAGTCGGAGTCTGTATGATCAGTGAAGTGAATTGCCATATCCGTACACCAACACCAACACCACACCCTGCTAATATTTATCAATCAAAATGCAGACAGCTTTGTTCATTGCACCTCCTGTGCTCCCTTTGAATCCCTGTAAGAACTTATTCCAGCTGCAGACCTTTACACCCCCGAAGGCAGGTGCTTCTCTTGCTTCCCGTTCCTCTGCAATCAAAGCAACTACTGCAATCGCTGACACCACCACTATTGATTGCAGTTCTGTGATCTCGTAAGTCATTTTTCGTTCAATCTTGAATTTTGTATCATGAATCTCTTCATTTCATTCAACTTCTTTGAGTTAGATAATCTACTACTCCTAAACAAAAGGGTTTGTTTCTCAGTGTGTTTCCAGTAGAGGCTTGTGAGATAATTGGTGGAGATGCCTGTTTGGCTGATATGTTTCCAGAAGTACGGCTACTGGTTGAGAAGGCAAGAAATGAAGCAGCTCAAATTACTTCAGATGACATTGAGAGAGAGTATCTTGTGTACAACGATGCAAAGACGTACGTAACTGGGTTAAATATCTTTAGTTCTTGTTAAAGTCTTGCGCTAAAGGACGTTCTAATCTATATGAACACGATCGTTTCTACAGGGTTTTCTGCGCTGAGGCGTGTGATGATCTCGGGGGAGAATTCTGCGGGGCTGAATATCAGAGGGGAGTCTTTTAGAAGAGATAACAGGAACATTGTCCAGAAAAACTAGGACGTTTTCTTTCTTCTTTTTCTGTATTTGAATGTATATATATTAAAATATATAGCAGCATGACCTTAGTTCATAATACATGCAAATTTATATATATTTGTTTGTTGTTAAGGCCTTTTCTCCTAGAGAAATCAGTTTCAGTAATATCGATGACCTATTGCATGCAAGTATGAAGAAGCCGATTGCGTGATGGTAATTACTTTTTCTGGAACGAATTTTGGGTTTGCGGAGTGTAACAAATTGTACCAGAAGAAGAAGAAGAAGAAAGTGTAACAAATGGCGATTCAAGGCAAAAAAAGAAAAAAGAAGAAGCTTGGATGGTCATTACGTGTTCCACCCATTGATAATACGCATGGGTGATTAGTTAACAAACTTCCCATTGGAAATATTTGGAGGCCATTTCTGCACATAATAATTATATTTGGACAGGCTCATATCCGGTAAGAGCAAGAATGATCATTATGTAACAACGTGTAATTTAATTAGTAAGGTTTTAAATTTAATTTTTAAAAATTATTGATTGAAATCTTATAAATTTTAGAGTTATTAAAGATTTATATAATTATTAATTTTAAAACTTGTAAAATTAGCTGAAATGCAAGCTACTCTAAATATTTATGTTAATAAAAAAAATTAACATTATGTTTTGTTTTAATTCCAGGTTTAGTCTTGAAAATCTTTTTGTTTGGCATTCCAAATTATTAGATCATTCATATTTAAATTTGGAGTATAAGAAAAGAGAAATAAACAAAATAAATTTTTAAATTTAAATAATTTTTTACGTGAATTTGTGAACTTTAGATTGGTCATATAGTTTCTTTATTTTGTTGAGTCCAAGCCTGATATCAGTTGTGCCCATCAGAATGTGGATGACGAAAGAAAAATTGACTGTCTTCAATAGCACAGTGAACGCTCAGCAATAGCGTTTGCACTGATCAGTACCCTAGAGGGTGCGCCAATCCTGGTGGTGAGGAACTTACGAGCTTGTACAGACAGCCATGCTGCGATCAACGAGATCTCAAAAACTGCAGGGAGGGAAATTACAGCAAGGGATTCAAACAGGTTCCATCATTTTAGAGATGGGTTTTGCTCTTGCAGGGATTATTGGAATATTGACTGGGAATGGGGGAGTTTCATTTCCCTTTCTCAAGGACCGCTCAAGCAATGGTACTTCTCAAGAAAGAGCGGATTCTTTTGGAGGGAAAACCCCTCCTTGAATGCAGCCACGGAAAATTTTTCATGTCTATCAGGTTCCTGTTCTCCATTCCTTGCAGCTTATCATGAGCCAGAAGAAATGAACTATACATATGAACACGCCGGATTTGCTATCTGTTGAATTGTTATGGAAGGAAGTCAGCATTCAGAAAGCACCGATTCTACAACCAGAGCTGGTATCATGACTACAACTGTGCCCTTTTTTGGGTGAATACAGGGGCACTGAGCCTAAAAGCTACACAATAAAGGGGGAATTGGGAACCAGCACCATGGAGATCAGCCCACAGTTTTCCCACCAAGTCCTGGCTCCCTGTATAATTGTTCTTGTTCTTGATGCTGCCTTCTTTTACAAATAGTCCCATGTCATGTAATTTTGTTAAACCAGAAAATGCAAGATGGGTTAACTTGCTACCCTCATTCTCAAGGGCAAGAAACATTGTAGATACAATCGTATACAGAACTCTGTCATCCCCCAAATGAAAAGAAAATATGTACCTTCATTCTCCATGTTTTTTTTTAGCAAGCAAGAATTCTATTTTGTGGTGCCATTTCCAAATCTAAAAGGATACAGTAAGCATTCCCATTCAATGCCCACAATAGAATTGAACACCAGAATTATTAAAAAAATCTTGCTTCAAATCCTAGATAACTTAAATAGTAAGAAGAGATTTAACATAAAAACCCAGGAAAAAAACACTAGTCCTCCTTGTTAGAATTCTTCCTTTTCTTGTTAACAAGATCATCGGGAACAACCTTAAGCAACTTCCTATCCTTAGACTTGGCAATCTTCTTGAGAGTTTTTGGATTAGTAATCTTCTGCAACTTGGTACCAGACTTCAATATATTCTCCTGCTTCCTCTTCTCTCTCTCTTCTCTCATCTTTCTCTTCTCCACTTTATTCTTCCTAATCTCCTCCTTCAGCTCATTCTTCCTCTCTCTGTACGCCTTCTTTATCTCTTTCTCTCTTTCCCTGTCCTCGTATCTCGT